ATTGAATAATAAAGGAACAAAATTTTCTCCACTCGTCTGCTGAGTTCAGTCAGTTTCCCCAGTGAAGCAAGAATAGCGTGGATGTTGAAACTACGGAAGGAATTTAGTCATAACTGGTTGATTCCCAGAGTCAGTTCCCCAAATGCTTTCACTTGGTTAACACTTTGAATGTGTTATGTCTAATGATGGGACAGCGGATCATCAGGTCAGTGACAATTTGTTTTTATTAAAACAGCAGGCCAGATAGACTCCCTAATAAACCCTGTAAAGAATATCTGGCTTATTCATCTTGATTTCAGGACATTGTTAAACTGTATTATTTCTATTCTTGTCCCTTTTGGTTAAATGATGGAAGATTATTTAACCAAAAGGGACAAGGACGATCTGCACAAATTTGACTGATTTAACTTGTTAACAGTATTTTTTAACAGTGCAGTAAAATTTGAAGTCAAACATTCTGTCCAGAAATAATTCACACTCTTAAGCCTACTTTATTCAAGATGTTTGAAATGGTTGATTTGCAACATTAACACTTGGAGACTGTTCCACTTTGATAAATAATATGGCAACCTCTATTTGAAATGTGTTTTTTCTTGTTGTGATGGCATTCTCCGTTGTACAATGAAAAATTTAAGTAAAAAGAAGAAGAAGATAAATAAATAAATAATAAAAAGTATTGCACTAGGACCCAGGCAAGAAGGCCTCCAGGGGCTAAATGTTCCCTTCTGCCTTCTTCCTGCATTGCAACACACCTCAGAGACAGGACCTGAGGACAGCCTTCGTGTGACTTGGTGTTCTGATCTGGTAGGGTTCTTTAAATATATTTAAGATTAGGAGTTTTATAGATCTATTGTGTTTGTCTATAAAAAACAATACTTTTAGTGATTTCTATTTTGAAAATCTTAATGTGAGGCGTGGGACTAAAACTTTGAGTACTGCAGCCCATCAGCCAGGAAACATGGTCGAAACAAGCATGATATTGATGTTGTGTACACCTTAGGCACAGAGTTAATATATGTATTTTCCAGTCACCTCTGACTTGGAGGAATAGTTTAGCAAGATAGATGTTCATGTCTTTATCTTAAATATATTTTCCTTATGTTTGTTGTAATCTTCTTTCGTTTTTAGATTTACTTTTGGTTTGTGTTTTCAAACAGCCAATGGCCAAACGGTTAGAAAAGCCAAACACTGTTTTTACATATTAAACCCTTATGACACTATAGGTGCAACTAAATGTTATCATGTTAACATGATAAACCAGGATGGTGAACATTACCTCCTACCTAAAACTCAAGAATCCACCACGCCTAAAAAAAACAACCAATCAGACCTAAGAAAGCTAGTTAATTTGACCATTAATGACTTTGATTGAACAGATTGGGCAAAGTAACTGCTTAGTGTTACATTAATTTAAGTGAATTGTACTAACTCAATCTTAACAAAGAGCGGGCTTAGCTAGTTAAGCTAGCTGGGCTGTGTGCTTGCTGTCACCATGAACGTGCACATATCCTCACAAAGCCTACGGAAGATAACTACTGACTGTATCATAA